AAAGTCATAAGCTGGGTTTCAAACATGGGAATTCAAGGCATAGGACGCAAAAAAAGGTAATTGAACTCTAATAATACAAGCAGGTGAAAAATATGATCCTCCGAACAAGTGTGATCCACATGGTTCAACTACAACAAAAGGGGGAAATGACAAGATTCAATACAGTGGCAGAATTGAAGTGAATCCCTGTAGAATATTGCATATAGATGTAAGTCATACTGTGTGAGCTCACCAAACATGAAGAGATTCCTTAACAGAGTGAGCAACTAGGACTCTTCAGCATCCCAGCCTATCTATATACACTCTTGTACATTAACAAAAACCCATAATATATGAGTATTGACCAAATATTATACCTAACCTATTCCTAGTATTGTATATATCACCTATCAGATGACTATGAACATGTAGCTAGACCATCTGTGGTAGCAACCTACCGTCTTCATCCAATGTTCCTTTAACTGCCCGATAAAACTCGATCCATGAGAGAAGAGTATGAATCCGCAGGAGCCCACAAGAATGTAGGGTTTGGACTTGCAGGGCATGCAGTGACCAGATCCAAAACCGAGACTGGTTTAAGCGTCTGAGGAAATTGAAATGCTAAATTGTCCACTTTGTGTTCATAAATTTTGCCATTTCTGTCTAGTTTATAACGTGAAGGCCCACTGAAATTCTCCTTGGTTTCCCACGGAACTCTTGGCACTCCCCTCAGTTCCACCTAATCAATATCTCATTCTCTGAAGGCTGCCATATCCTATACACATCCAAAGCAATCTCACGAAACAAAATTTTGCCATGAAACCTCAAAGCCCAGAAGATCAATTTGTACTTTTCAATCCCAGTGAATGTATTTAAAGGGTCCTTAATGTTATGTCATCCCTGAAACAATCAAAATCCCAACTTTCCTCAGAGGAGGGGAAAAAACTATCCACAACAAACAACACAGTAGATAAATTAAAGACTTAAATGTAAGAAGAAGAAAAAAACCTGTAAATTTCATATTGAGATCTTTGATGAAGAGAAGAGGGACGTCCTCACGAAGGTCCGCACAGCATAGCCAAGATTGATATAGAAATTGTCTTTCTGATTCTTGTTATCTTGAGCATCTGGGGGTGGGTTAACTTGGGCCACCTGTACAGCGGAAGTTTGGAGGCAATTCAATGAAAAAGAAGAAGAAGAAGACGAAGCTACAGAGAGAGAAGAATAGTGAGAAACGGGTTTTGCAAGAGACGCGGCTTGAGAGACGGGCTTTTCCTTGGCTTTGGTTTGGGTTAAGAGGGACGAAGGGAGGTTAGGTAGAAGAAAAGCCATGGCCTCTATTTCTCAGTGTTGCCCCAAAGATATTAGATACTCATCTGCGAGATGGAGAAAGAGGGAAGAGAAGAGACTTGTCGTCCTGATTCTCTCTCGAGAGTTTGTGACTTTCTGGGGACGAAGCAAAATGAGGCTCTTGTTTTCTGTTTTGATATGAGTGGCTTTGAACGTGGCCAGACATTATGTTGATTTTCCCTTTTCATATCGGACCCGAATTTCTTATTATTTTTCTTAAAATATCTTTTCGAAAAAACAATAACACCAAAAACTATGAGCAAAAATTATTGAAGTGAACTTGTCGACAAAGTTGGCCAAAAAAAAAAAAAGAACTTGTCAACAACGCATCTTCCTAAGTCTTCTTTTCCTCACAGTAATAAGTCTTACGTTTGGTGAGTTGAGAAAATAATGTTGAAAAAGTGTATCATATTATTTATTTTTCTAAAATTGAATTTATGGGCAAACGTTTGCTTCACAAAAATAAAATTTGATTGGTGCTCATCGAAACGCTGAAAAGAACAAAGGCATGAGACTTCCCTCATAGAGGTGAATTAGTTCAGGAGAGAAGGCTCTCAATTGACTTGAAGGGGAGGGAATGGACAGGAGAAAACTACTCTACGGTGAGCAAGAGCAAGAGCAAGAGTTCAGAATTATAAACATCTCCTATTTATTACGACCTCCCAAGCTAGTTTGTAGTGCAATTATGGTCTTAAACATAAGTAATTTAACTGAAAAAAGTTTAGTTACTTCATCAAAATGATCTTAAAATTAAAAAAGTTTTCATATTTATCCCCCAATTAATACTGTCAATTTAAAAATCAAATATTCTTTGTAAACTCTTTAAAAAAAAAGGACAACTTTTAAAAAATATTAAAACATCTAGAAAAACTCATGCAATGTGATGTATATTTACAAAGGATATGTCACAACCTACCATTCCCTTTTGTCCTTATTACAGGGCATCTTCAGAAAGTGATTTTTGGATTCAAATACAAGTGATCAACAATCTCATTGATTACCTTTTTCTCATTTTACCCTTATTATTAATATTAATTGGTGTTTAAAGTTGAAAGAAAATATCACAAGAGTATACATCTGTACAATAAATGGTTGTCTTGGGATGTGATGGTTGGGTTAATTACTTTGGGAGGCGATGTATAGATTGAGGGAATATAGCAATGTACTTGGAAGAGTAATTTGGGGAAAGGAGGGGAACTAAATCTGTCTGTGGGCATAGTTGCAAGCTTATAATGATCCCTCCAGCAATTGTTAAAATGATTGCAATCATTCATGGACTTTATCTTTGCTGGAATGGCATATTCAAAATAGTGAAAAATCGATCTGATTGCATTGAAACTATTAATTTTGTTTTGAAAAGTTGAGATGAAAATTGCCCTTTCAAGGATATAACTAAAAAAGTTAGAAATTTATCTCATAGAAAATGATAGATTGTGTTATGAATATAATAATATCTTTGTGAATGTCCATATATCTCCCATTAATTAAAGGTATAAAGCTATGCCTATAAATAAAGGCCATGTATAATGTATTGAGCACTCTTGAATAGAATGCGAATTACTTTCTCTTGTTGATTCTTTCTTTTTCTGTATGATTCTTCTCTATATTTCTTCTTTATTTATAACAGATTGTAATTAAATGTTTCTAGAGATAGTAATACCATAGTTGATCACCTGGCTAAACTTGCTCATGATCTTGTAGAGAATTTTTGTATCTTTTTTCTTTTTTTGGTTACAAGGGGCGGGATCGAACCCGCAACACACATATCACTCGGACAAACGACCAGTTCTTAATTACTCAGCTCATGTTAGCTTTTAGGCTTTTCATGTTTGGACTTGTAGTTTTCTATTAAAATAATGTTATTCAACATTTATTGAAAAGGTAAAAAAGAATATGGCAATATAATTGAGTCGATGAAGCTAATTTAAGACTTAAAAACATGACAAACGGAGTCGACATAGATAGGAGTTTTTGTGTTGATTATAAGCTGTGGCTGAATCACAATGGAAAAAGGGATGAGGGACTAGTTCTTGCAGGCATAATAGATCTGATAGACTGATATCATTAAGTGCCTCTGCGGCCCTGCCTTCATGGATTTGAGCATATTGAAGCTCAAGATGTTCAAACCGGTTTCTTTTTAGGCTGCACAATGATCAGCTTTAATAGTGATTTTGTCTTGGCTTATACTATTTACAAAACAGGAAAAAAAAAATCTTTTATCCGATACATGAAGCATAATATATATTAAATATAAATAAAGTTAAAAAACTAATAAATTTTAAATAAGAATTAATAAAATTTAAAATTTTTCTTAATTTATATGAAACATATTAAAAATAACTTATCAATAAGATAAAATTAATATAAAATAAGTGCTTTTAATGGCCATCCCAAAACGACCTCCTTATTGTCTGGAAGGTAGTGGTGCCCCCGCTATTTTCTCCTCAATTTCTTCGAAGATCTAACTCCACCCTTCAATTTCGTTTCAAGAGAATTACGACGTAAGCGTCTGATTCTCAGGAAGCTCGCTATACCCCATCAATCCGTTGTAATACCTTGAAGAACTTGCAGTGAGCAGTTCTTAATAGTTGGGAGGGAAATTCATGCTAATTAATTATTAAGACAATTTGATGACACTCCAGTACTCCACCTTCTAAAATAATTCGAAATCAGACCATTAATGTATATAAATTTGAGACGAATCCCAAACTTCAATTCATTTGCTTTGGATTGAGATCTGGTCAGTTTTGCTGCGATAAACTTCTCACAAACAAAACATCGCGGTCCATATGAGTGTCTTTTACTACTACTTCATCTTCATTTATGGATTTTTGTTCCTTCCCATTTTCAATCCTCATGACTTCAAAAAGTGTCTCAGCAACTCCATCAATTTGGTTTTAATAACATTTTGCTCTTCTTGTCTGTGAACTGAATATTATTCACACATGGACAAAGCTCAATATGGCTTTGATTGCAGAGCAAAGACAAGCCCTAGTTGAAGATCTAATCCGAATCTCGTCAAAAACAAATAGTTTTACAGTGAAATAAAGATTCATTCTTTATTCTAATAGGAGTATGAAATTCTTCAACAAATATAAAACGAAGAGAATTAAAATATAGGAACATCTGAATGCATAAGCCTTATGGAAAGGCAAATGCCAGAATCTCAGCTCCACATCTTTATCGGCAACGTACAGCACTGAAAGCGCTATTGAACAAGCGAATCAGAGACTCTAATTTGTTGCCTTATTCTTTACAGAAACTCAGAATTCACAAAGATCAGTTTTAGAAAAACGACATGAAGGAAAATGGGCTCAGCAATGATTGAGATAACATCAACAAACCCACAACAGAGCTTTCATAGTTTGATGGTATATATTTCATTCATCACCGCCACCAATTGTCGTCGCAAAAGAAGAAAACAAAAAGATTGAAAATTTGAAGTTAGAAACGTAAATATGAGGAGAATGAAAGCAGGCCTCAGATTGAATAGTTAAAGAATGCTTCAGAGAGAATTCTCAGATGGTACGGACAAATGATTGGGCATCACAGGCCACGGAGGAATTAAAAAGACGACGAAATTGTAGAAAGAAGAGGAAGAACACTAATCGAAGATGTAAGGAAAGGAAAAAAAAACCTGATGCAGAATCGAATCGGTGAAGGAGGTTGCCAATAGGGAGGCTTAAATAGATAGAAATGGGGAGCCAAAGAGGGAGGAACAAGGGAAACCCTAATTTGAGGTATTGGGCTTGGGCCTCAATAACATCCCATCTTATAACCCAATCGCTAACTCTTTTAGGTTTTCCATTGAGTTTGTACCAGCATCGAGTGAATGCACTTGGGGCCACTGATGAAAACGGCCATTAATTATTAATATTTTCTGGTAATGATAGTTTTTTTTTAAAAAAAAATGATTTCTGAATAAGAACTCTATAATATTTCAAAGATGATTTTATAATTTTTGGGAATATAAATAGAATTAATCATTTATAAATATTAATGAAATTTTTTTCCTTAATCATTAATACTACCTCCGGTCCTAATTATAAAAACCAGTTAACTAATTTGAGAAGATTAAAGAAGTAGGTTGAGTTAGTTATTTGTCCTAAATAGGTGTTGTCTTTCCTAAAATATCATTGCTAATCAAGTGTATTTACTAGAACTATCATTGTTAAAAGAGCTACTTTGGAAAAAAAAATGTATAAATATGAGAGACAAAGTAGATTGAAGTCTTATATTTAGAATCAAAATAAAAGTCAAACGGGGTTTTATATTAAGGACCGGAGGTAGTAATATTTAAAATTTTCAATTACAATTAAACATAATTATAAATCATGATTCTTCGACCGCGCTTTTTTTTTTTTTTTTGGGTATATGGTTACTGCGCTCAACATTCTGTGCGTGATCAAGATTTATCATAAAACGCATGAGTCATGCATTTCACTGATCAAGATTTGTGGGATTGATCTGCTATCCAGTGAGCTCCTCCTTGTCTGCTCTGTTTTGGCAAGTTTTCCTTCTCACACCTGAGTTCGAAGGCATGGTTTCATCATCCGAAACAGTACAAGATCATCATCGCCATCATACATTAATTCACTTGTTCGTGGGCACTACCTAGGGAGGCCACACAAAACCATTCTCATTTTCTACCAAAGAGCGTCAAATATAAACGAGCCTTGGAAGTGGCGTAGAAAAACCAAGAAACAGCAGCAAAGAGCAATAACGTTATTGATCTTAATCAGCTGAACCCAAGAAGAAACATTCTCGTACACATCAAGGGGAACGCGTCTGACAGAACCCACATTCATTATCTTTCCATGTTATTGATCATCATAAGAGCCGGGTTCGATCACATGAAAGACGATTACATACAATCCTATTGTATAAAAGACGAGATGCAGAGACTTGATTCAGACCTTTTTTTCATCTTGAAATTTAGCTATTATTATCCATCACTGATTGTCACTAATCCTGAGATTTGTATAAAGACGCCTGATTCCAATGATCTGAGATTTGTATAACTTATGCCAGCGAACAGCATAAATCAGTCATTCTTAAAATGCCAGGGCTGTGAAATGAATCTCTCAAGGCGGCATATGAAACCGAATTCCAGTCGACCGTGTAACCAGGATGAACTCACGTCTTTATTTCTTTCTCAGCGTATGTAGAAGTGATGCTTAACATCGCATTATTACAAGTTATTATCAAAACCAAAACCTGAGACCATGTAACCTAACTAATCGAGACTTTAAATAAATATCCGGCGTCAAAACTGTAATGGTTTTCAGCTGTGGGCTCCCACCAAAGCCATGTGCTCTACCAGGTCCAGCACTCGGTTGCTGCAAAACACAAAGCGGTCACCCACCAATCGCAAGTTAGCAAGAATTAAAAGGTCCCTTTTTGCTCTTGAATATGGTTAACATGATGAAATGAAGTCAGTGCGACACAATTTCAAGCGCAAAACATCATGTCATGCTGTCGAACACAACCGCAGTAGTGTAAAGACGATACCTGTACCCCCACTCGTTGTCATACCAAGAAATCAGCTTCATGAAAGATGAGCTAAGCCCAATCCCGGCTTTAGCGTCAAAAATACTCGACCTGTTAAAATCAAGTCGATGATATATGATAAGCCACTCATACAACAAATCTTTATTAAGAGTATCACAACTTTTGAAATCCTGTTTCAACTAACAGAAAGATAATGGAGGTTTGTCATATTTGATTTAGGATATTAATATTTTGAGCACTTCCCTGATGAATTCATTCAAATCCGTACTACTTTTTTTTTTTTTTAAAATGATGCCTCACTTGTAAACTGAGAATAAAATATTTTTTTTCCCCCGGGGGGGGGGGTTTGGTTTGGAGATGCATAAGATGTTAAAACGCATCAAGAGAGTTCATCTCTTCAGGAAGCTCATATAATAATTGATCAATATCAAAATAAGGTAATCGAAGAAATTTTACCTTGGATCACCAATGAAGTCATTGGAGACAACATCCTCGTCAGTGTATCCAAGAATGCCTTTCAGTGGTCCCTCCGAAGCATGCCTAGAGATAATAATCAACAGAATAATTAGCCAAGAAAGCCAACTGGAGTTGATTCTGGAATCAAAAGCAGATAAATTATGGCATACTTGACTGCTGCTTTGATAGCTTCATAGGAAGCACTCTTCTGAAGCCGAACAGTCAAGTCTACAACAGAAACGTTGGGGGTCGGGACCCGGAATGCCATCCCAGTGAGCTTCCCATTAAGGTCAGGAAGAACTTTCCCAACAGCCTATGATTTCATAAAAACTGAACTCATTAATAACCTTTAACAATTAAGGATACAATACCTAAAAAATTTGAAGACCTCCTCGTCAATCTCTTACTTTCGCTGCACCAGTTGAACTTGGAATTATGTTTTGACCAGCTCCTCGTCCTCCACGCCAATCCTTCATAGAGGGACCATCTACAGTCTTTTGTGTTGCTGGACAATGAATAGAATTATCATGCCACCCGTACTATGTCAGCATACCAGGAAATGGTTTAACACCCTCCTCCCTCCCTCCTCCCAACCTTTAAAACAAAAAAGTGGGGGGGGGGGGGAGTGGCAAGTGTGCAGAGGATACCTGTTGTAGCATGTACAGTTGTCATCAGGCCTTCAAGGATGCCAAACTCCTCATGAACCACCTAAAAGATGGTAAATATATGACATACCGCATGGCAAGAGAATGATAGCAGGGCCTTGTATATAAGTTGAAGGTCGGAAAAAAGGTATGAATTATGACACATTATAGATATCTCTTTTCTTTCTGGATTAGTCACAAAAGCATTCTAATTTCTAATACTATTGAACCCTTGAACTTACCCTTCTCCTTCACGTTTAAAAGGAGGATCTACCCCAAGACCTAGACGTTGTAGGCTTTTCTACCATTGAACTATATCACGCTTAACCTAGGGCATGCAAATCCATCAAGATTATATCACAAAACAGCACAAGTTTAATATAGCTTGCTACCACAGGATGTAATGAAACCTTGGCAAGAGGAGCAAGACAATTTGTAGTACAGCTTGCATTGGACACAATGTCCATGTTTGGTTTGTATATTTTCTCATTCACTCCCACCACAAACATTGGAGCATCAGCAGATGGAGCTGATATTACAACTTTCTTGGCACCACCCTACAGAGTACCATAACAGAAAGCAAATGAAGCTAGAAAGAATCGACAAAGGACAAGGGTCATATAGAACACTTGAATTACAAATAAATGAGATAGCGACCTTTAAATGTGCTGAAGCTTTCCCCATTGTTGTAAATACTCCCGATGACTCAACAACAAAATCAGCCCCAAATTCACCCCAGGGGATCTCTGCAGGGTCTCTGAATCAAGAAATAAGGCGTGTATACATGTTAACGCAAATTTGAAGTATTGTGGTCAAGCAAGTAGTAATACACATGTTCCTGACATGTATTTCAATCATTAGAATTCTACACACCTTTTGCCCACAACTTTAATCTGCTTCCCATTAATTTTCAAAGTAGATTCATCCAAAATATCAATTGTCCCCTTGAACGGTCCATGAGTAGAATCATACTTAAGCATATAAGCCTGAAAGAAGGAAAAAATAAATATGGACAAAAAAGAAAATAAAACTAAAAGATAATAAAGACAAATTAACAAAGAAAAATGAAGAACAACACAGCCGCAATAAGGTCTCCCAAGCATTATAACTTCTCCAGTTATACAGTGCACATGCAATTTATCACCAAACCCCCAGTCCTAGTTGGGTTAACACTTGATATAAAATTCAAAACCATTATAATAATCTGACTACCCCGCGCGGGAGGAAGGAGAAGTAAACCCAGAGTGCTTGTCAGCACTGATAATAAAAACCAACAGTTGCTCCTAGCATCAATTAACTTTGAACATCAGGGGGGCTTAAGGTGGAAAAAATCCAGCATTGATCAATGGTTTATGAAAGCCCTTTACGAATTAAAAGAAATACAAAGGTCTCACGTGAAGTTGAATAATCCATACATTATTATACTACAGCAAAAGATTAACGTAAATCAGACTATGTCATCTACACTACTCAATGTAGTTCAGGGTTTTATCAATCATTTATCAACCAGAGTTTTATACTGATACGGATTAACTAAAATATAACATGCGTCACTAGGAGATGTTGCATATATTCATATAAGCAATATTAACAAGGCATTTACACATACATACCATATATTTGGCATCGATAAAAGGATCATTAATCGCTACAACTTCAATATCATCCCTTGAAGTAGCTATACGCAAAACCAACCTTCCAATTCTCCCAAAACCTGCAATTCCAGCAAGAAAATATGGGTTCTTTCTGGAACCAAACTGACATAAACTTGCGGAGTATGTTTTCTGGCCAAGTAAACTGCATATTCCAAAGCAGGAAAACTCTACAACTTAGATTTCACCAAACAATGCCCAAAAATGAGTGGGTTTCCAATTTCATCTTCAGAAAATTCAATGGTTCACGGAACTTTCAGATTCAGATGTCACTGTCATAAACGGCAGCAGT